CCGAGGGACGATCGCTCTTAAGAAAAAACCTTTTTTCTATTTTTTTTGCGATGATGCTTTGACCAGGGCATGAACCCAGGCGTTGCGGAGTGGAAGCGCGCACGGCTTACCACTACACCACAGCGGCCGACCTAACCTGTACTTATTTGAGTTGGTCACATTAGGTATTCCGCATACAAATGTATTTAGATATTGGCATAAATAGTTGTAAGGGTATTTTAGTTTGTAGGTAACTACTTATTATGTATATTGCACATTAATGGTTAATAAACATATATCATATAAAGGGCTCGGAACCTCATGCAAATGCATGTTTTTACTGGGCATCTTAAAATGGAAATGGCTAAGTTATCTTTATGAATCATGAAATTTCCTTTAAAATGGCACTCAATCGTTAGTGCATATTTTTGAATATTTTGCAGTAAATGCATGGTTTTGCATATTTTTCAAAAATACCTGTTTTTGCATACATATGGGCGATTCCACCGTCACGGGTTGGACATTTGTATAGACAAAATTTTCTTTCTTGTTTAAATTTAAGTATAAAGTTCTCTACAATTCTACGAAAAAAATTCCAGCTTACTTTTATATGGGAAAAATCTGATTTATTTCTTCTGTCACGGGTGGGACAAAAAAAAGAACCTGCTTTTTGGAGCAGATATATTTTACGGAAACTCTGCGAATTTATTTCCCTTTTCTGTGTGAACTTGATGTCTTATAATAAAACATAGAACCAGAACCACAAATAAAGCCAAAACTACAAAAAAATGATGGCTTTATTATACAAAAAAATCCGAAATTCCTCTGTCACAGGTGGGACAACGTTTGTCACGGGAAGGACACGCACAAATTTTTATACGAAAAGGAGCCTTTAGTGTGGTCCATATATAAAGATTAGTTATTAAAAAATATAAGAAGCCAAGTAGGGGTTAAATTCACTCACGTTTTATCTTAGAATGGTGCCTTTTATATAAAAGAATATGCTTAGCACCGTCTTAGCAAAAAAAAGATTAAAAATTAACGCGATTTCCTAGCGTCTTGAAATTTTCACTTTTACCTACTTAAATTTAATGAACTACAAAACTGCATACCTAAAAATTCTAAACAAAAAGTTTAAAATTTTTGGGTGTAATTGTTAGTTTGTTGAATATTTATAATTTTTGTAAGAAGTTTGAAATGTAGATTTATGTGGTTCTGGTTAGGTAATGTGCTAGACATTTATAAAAAAAAAACTACAAACATTAGATTAACAAAATAGAAAAGCAAAACTGGTTAAAATGTAACTTCACTTAATCAGCTGACCACCACAAGGGTATCTAGACAATGGACGAGTCCGCGCATCCCCCCTCCTCCCCTGCGTCCACCCCAACAAACAAATAAAGATTATCAGCCCAGTAAACCTACCTCTGACAACTGTCCCACACATAGCTGTCTCTGTTGAATTATTCTAATCTAACAACGTGGAAACGACAATGCAATTGTGGGAAATATTTGCAATGAATTTCTAACATGTTGTAACAAACACGTAACACAACCTCAACTTCTGTAATTAAATATAACAACTTTTACCTTTTTTTGTCACGGGTTGGACAAGACCAAGACTGCTTAACAATAACGCATAATATAGATTAAGCACTCACAAAATTTAATGTATAACACAACTTTATTAAAAGCAGATGAGTTCTACAATATATTTTTCTTACAAAACACTTAAATTATGAATCGCAAATTATTTGACAGTGCATTCAACACAACCTACTTTAAACTAAATCAAAAAATTTACTTAGAACTTGATTTCAAAACGTAAAAAAAGGTAATAAAAATGCATTTAAAGCTTTAATTTGTTATTTTTTGGTTGATTCAAGATTTTTACAAATGTCTTATCCACACGTTTGTTAGTTTTATAAAGAAAATAATTTTCGCACTGAGGTCCACTTTCCCATGGAACCTCCCATATTGCGCATATTTTAGTATATTTTACAATAAATGCATATGTTTTTTTTTGCATATTTTTCCTGTTTTTGATTTACAACCATTTACATTTAGTGCGAAATCTCTGGTCAAAAAATTACATATAATTTATCACTTGAAGGCCAAGCAGAGGTGGAACCATATAGGATCGTACAGGATTACCCGGCAGTTCTGGTTGTCCTACGACCCATTCCTAAGCTCTCTTAGGAATGAGCATAGAAGTTACCTAAAAACTTACTGCAGTGTGCACAGGGTACTGGCCAGTGCTGCCCCTGTCACTTCAATTGAAGTTTTTCACTTCACTCTGAAAGCCTTCACTTCGTCACTTCATTTTACTTCGTTTTACTTCCCTTCCCACAAATTAGATTTATCTTCAAAAGGAATACAAATTTCCTATACATTGCCTATACAAAAAAATAATTTCGAAACCAATAACTTAGTTAATAAAAAAATGTTTATTATAGCTTAAAATTATTGTAACCAGTACAGGTAAATATGTTGTACAAAAGCACATAAACAGAAGTTCATAAAAGTTGATATAAAACTATTCGTCGATTTAAATAGTTAACTTTTTACTGCACATGTTTATTTTACGAGGAGGAAGCTTAACCCCGTCAGTGCGAGACTTTAGCCCAAGCTTAACTTCCTACCGTCATGTACCGTTCTGCACCCGGTACCCCCGTCAAGGATTTCGCCGGGATAATAACACTGTGTGACTGATAAGGTTATAGATCTATTTTCTTCTTCTTCTTCTTATTTGGCGCTGTACTGCCAAAGCGATTTTGACCGAGTTCAACAAAGCACGCCAGTCGTTTCACTTCTGCGCCAACTGACGCCAATTGGAAATGCCAAGTGAAGCCAGAATACTTTCAGAGCTGGAGCGTCGGTGTCCATTCGAACGACATGGTCAATCCAGTAGAGCCACTGTATTTTAATTCGCTGCACTGTTCATGTCGTTGTAAAGCTCGCCGTCGCCAACGCGTAATGGCCCGTAAATCTTCCGCAAAATCTTTCGCAAATTCTTTATCTCCAGCAGCACACGAAACTGATGGTGGGGATAGTTCAGATTAATCTCCACCACTGCAAGGTGGCCTCAGCCGCAGGAGATCGCACCGATCCAGGAGCCTTGGGTCATAAAAGATCGGGTTTGTGGATTGAATATGAAGGGATATAAGCTGGTCTATGTAACTGACAAAGGTAAACCCAGGTTGTGCATATTGATAAAAAAAAGTGTATTAATGCATACAGTTTAGCGATGCGGACAACGTCATTATAGCAGTGGAATCAAGCGGAAGGTCTATTTGGCTGGCTTCCACATACATAGCCCATGACGCAGACATACTACCTCCACCACAATCCTTAAGGAGCGCGGTAATGGAGGCTTCTAGACGCGGCACTCCGATGGTCAAAGGAGCAGACGCGAATGCCCATCATCACATACGGGGCAGCTCAGACACAAATGAACGCGGTGAGTCGATATTCGAATTTATTATGTGCAATAACTTACAGGTTAGCAACGTAGGTGATACCCCTACCTTTGCGACGTCTGTTAAAAGGGAGGTCCTTGACATTACATGTGTGAATGAGCAGGGGGAAGAACTCTTGAATGACTGGAGAGTCTCTAAAGACAACTCCTTTTCAGATCACATGTGTGTCGTTTATAACCTATACCTACCAGTAAGAAAACAACAAACGGTCTTAAACCGTAGAAAAACAAATTGGAAAAAGTTTGAAACAACCTTTTTNTTGAATGACTGGAGAGTCTCTAAAGACAACTCCTTTTCAGATCACATGTGCGTCGTTTATAACCTATACCTACCAGTAAGAAAACAACAAACGGTCTTAAACCGTNCAACAAAGCACGCCAGTCGTTTCACTTCTGCGCCAACTGACGCCAATTGGAAATGCCAAGTGAAGTGAAGTAGAGCCACTGTATTTTAATTCGCTGCACTGTTCATGTCGTTGTAAAGCTCGCCGTCGCCAACGCGTAATGGCCCGTAAATCTTCCGCAAAATCTTTCGCAAATTCTTTATCTCCAGCAGCACACGAAACTGATGGTGGGGATAGTTCAGATTAATCTCCACCACTGCAAGGTGGCCTCAGCCGCAGGAGATCGCACCGATCCAGGAGCCTTGGGTCATAAAAGATCGGGTTTGTGGATTGAATATGAAGGGATATAAGCTGGTCTATGTAACTGACAAAGGTAAACCCAGGTTGTGCATATTGATAAAAAAAAGTGTATTAATGCATACAGTTTAGCGATGCGGACAACGTCATTATAGCAGTGGAATCAAGCGGAAGGTCTATTTGGCTGGCTTCCACATACATAGCCCATGACGCAGACATACTACCTCCACCACAATCCTTAAGGAGCGCGGTAATGGAGGCTTCTAGACGCGGCACTCCGATGGTCAAAGGAGCAGACGCGAATGCCCATCATCACATACGGGGCAGCTCAGACACAAATGAACGCGGTGAGTCGATATTCGAATTTATTATGTGCAATAACTTACAGGTTAGCAACGTAGGTGATACCCCTACCTTTGCGACGTCTGTTAAAAGGGAGGTCCTTGACATTACATGTGTGAATGAGCAGGGGGAAGAACTCTTGAATGACTGGAGAGTCTCTAAAGACAACTCCTTTTCAGATCACATGTGTGTCGTTTATAACCTATACCTACCAGTAAGAAAACAACAAACGGTCTTAAACCGTAGAAAAACAAATTGGAAAAAGTTTGAAACAACCTTTTTTAATAATATTTCCGACTTCACAAATCAAAAAACTCGGAACATCAACTTGATAACGTTGCAGACCATCTCCATGGTGGTCCACTGAAATTTCAACCCTCAGAAGGGAATGCAGATCAAAATTTAATGAAGCTAAGAGATCCAACTCTTGGAGTGAATTTAAAGACTGGCAACGCCGATTTAAGTATGCAATAAGAGACGTTAAGCGCTCCTCAGGGAGGAACTTCTGCCAGAAGATAGAAATTACTTCGGAGGCCAGCAGATTGCGCCAAATACTATCTATGAGTCCCAGCAATATTAGCTATCTCATGAAGGAGGATGGTGATTGGACAACTAGCAGCGAAGAAACTCTAGAGCTTCTAGTACAGACGCACTTTCCGGGTTGCCTCCACAGTAGAGTCACAAATACCCGTATCATAGGCAACCATGATGACATTCCAGCGAATATCATTACCGAGGGGAACATAAAGCATGGCATTAGCAGCTTCCAACCGTTCAAATCTCCGGGACCAGACGGCATTATTCCCGCTGACCTAGAGCATACAGCAGATATGATTGCACCCATACGACTTAATTATATACCCCACAAATGGGAGGAGGTAAGGGTAGTTTTAATTCACAAGGCAGGGAAAACTACACACACGAGACCAAAGGACTTCAGACCAATTTATCTGTCGTCTTTCGTGCTGAAATCTCTAGAGAGACTAATAGATGGGCATATTAGAGACAAGGTGGGCAGCAAACTTTCGGTAGCCCAACATGCCTATAACAAAGGGAGATCAGTCGAAATAGCGCTCCATTATTTAGTGCACACAATCGAAAGATCACTATATTACAAATAATACACCCTCGTGGCCTTCCTGGACATCGAAGGTGCTTTCAACAATGTATCTCCTGCATCGATTATCTCATGTCTGACAAATCTGGGAGTAAGCAACTCACTAACCTCATTTATTGAACGAATGTTAATCGGTCGAGAAATAAGCGTAGGATTAGGTGAAAAAGTAATAAAAAGGTTCCCCGTCAGGGGTACACCCCAGGGGGGAGTAATATCACCGCTCCTGTGGAACATAGCAGTAGACAGTCTTCTTCGGGAACTTGCAGATATTGGCGGTCAGATAAGTGCATACGCCGACGATATTTTAATAGCTATCTCGGGTAAACATCTCTCAACATTGACAGATCTGATCAACAGATCCCTCAACAAACTATCCCTGTGGTGTAACAGGCGAGGACTGGGAGTGAATCCTGAAAAAACAGACCTTGTGCTATTCACTAGGAAGCACAAAATACCTGATCTCGGGAACATAACTCTAGAGGGCAACATCCTCGCAATAAAAGAAGGGACCAAATATCTAGGTCTCATAGTAGATAGGAAACTAGACTGGGGGCCCAACGTTGCAGATAGAGTGCGAAAGAAAACAGTGGCACTATTTTCCTGCAACAGAGCAATAGGAAAAAGATGGGGGATGAAACCCAAAATAATACATTGGCTATACACGGCGGTGGTTAGGCCAATTCTCTATCACGGTATAGTGGTATGGTGGGACACCCTTGGGAAAGGGGTAAACTTCAAAAAAATGGACAAGGTTCAAAGGCTTTCGTCCACACTCATAACTGGTGCGATGAGAATAACACCATCCAAGGCACTGTAGGCCCTACTGAATTTTCTTCCGGTGGACCTACATGCCAAACAAGTCACAAGTGGTGCGGCAATTCGAATGAACATTCTAAATAAGTGGTCAAATACCAGTCATGGTCACGGTAGAATGCTAATGGATTTTCCGGGGCTTCCCAGACTGGTGGACTATGCACTTCCGGAACCTGCATTCGCTACAGCGTTCGCGACCCTCCTACCCTCAAGGGAAAAGTGGAAGCATGACGTTGCAAGTAGTGGAAAGTCCATCCATGTATACACAGATGGCTCAAAGCTCGAGGGAAGGGTTGGAGGAGGTGTATACTCCCATCACCTGGGAATCTCCCTCAGCTTTCGTCTCCCGGACCACTGTAGCATTTTTCAGGCTGAACTGATGGCAATCGACAGGGCCATGAAACTGGTAAAGTGTGATATGATACCCCAAGTTGATATCTATATCTTCACTGACAGCCAGCACAGTGCTGAGTTACCCACTACTATGCCAAACAATTATGGCCGGTGCTCAGTGCCAAACGCACTGGCCTACTAGTGAGTCTAAACAAGCCCAATATTGGATTATTAGTATCTGTCATAACAGGACACTGCCTAATTGGCAAGCAAGCCTATCGACTTGGCCTACTTTTACATGACTTCTGTAGAAGTTGTCAAGATGAAGAGCAGGAGGAAACGATTCTGCACCTGTTGTGCCAGTGCCCTGCTCTAACTAGACGAAGACTGTCCACTCTAGGTAGGCAACTCTTCGACCACTTGGAGGATCTTAGATGCGTCGAAATCAGGGATGTTCTAAAATTCGTTCAAAGTTCAAAATGGTTTTAGGAGGGATTGGGAGCTGCTGACCCAACATGCGGCATCACAATGGGCCCTGAGCCTAAGTGTGTCTTATAGACGACCACGATAACCTAACCTAACCTACTTTGCTTTTCGAATTTTTGGTTTCACCAATCCATTTTAATTTGTTTTTAATTTTGATGTAAGTGACCTATGCTCTTCACTTAAATAAAAATTAAATCAGAATAACCACTAGGGATGTTAATTTTTCGGCATTTTCCGATCCCGGGATTTTAGGGATGGCGTTGTCACAATCCCGGGATCCCGGTATTAGTGCCGGGATTTAGATATTCATTACTTTTCAACAACTTGAATAGAAAAAATTGCTTCTATATTGTTTGAGAAGCTCTCCTACCCTGAACTCTATACATTAATTAATTAAAATTAATGTGGAGGGTCTTTATTAGAGCAACAGAAGCCAAATCAACCATTTTTAGAATTTTCGTCTGTCTGGCTGTCGGTCTATCTGTCTGTCTGTCTGTATGTTTGCATGCGCATCACTCGATGTATTGCTAGAGGCCTAACTTAAAATATAGAAAGAAAAAAATTAGAGAGTTGCCACCTGTTTAAAAATTGCAGGTTAAGTAAATTGATAAGAAAAAGTGAATATTGCAATTTGGGCGTCAAAAGAAAGAGGTTTAAGAAGCCTTACAACCGAACATATTTTTTGAGGGTTGCCACCTGTTTTAAAATTTTAATTTAATTAAATTTATAAGATAAATTTAATATTGTAATATGGGTATCAAACTGAAGAGGGTTAGGAAATTTTACTGTCGAAAATATTTTTGGAGGAGGGTTGCCATCTGTTTGAAAAATTTCATTGAATTAAATTGATCAAATAAATGAAAGCTATGTATATCTATACCTATAATTAAATTGTACATGCCGATGTCTGTACATTATTTATATTAAAGAAAAACTAAAAAGGGGGTCTTTATTAGAGCTACAGAAGCCAAATTAAAATTTTTTTAAATTTTTGTCTGTCTGTATGTCTTTCTGTATATTTGTGCGCGCATCACTCGAAAACTAATGCATGGAATCGAATTCAGTTTTCACCGATGTATCGCTAGAGGTCTAACTTACAATATAGAAGGAAAAAATTAAAAATTGCCACCTGTTTAAAAATTTCAGTTTAAGTAAATTGGTACGATAAAGTAAATATTGCAATATGGCTGTCAAAAGAAAGAGGTTTACAAAGGCTGAAAATATTTTTGTAGAAGGTTGCCACCTGCTTGAAAACTTTTATTTAGTTTAATTGATAACATAAATTAAATAATGCAATAGTGGCATCAAACTAAATAGATTAGGAAACTTTAATGCCAAAAATATTTTTAAGAGATCTGCCACCTGGTTGACAAATTGTATTAATTTAATAATAATAATAACTAGTATCGCCCAGTTGTCAAAATTCGACATCTTTTTCATACACTTTTGAATATTACCTGTCACCAATACTAACTCCTTTATGCGAATTACTATTTTGAAGTCCACCAGCATAATTTGTAGCGAATTTACAGGACAACTTAAGATCGATCTATGAACGTTAATACGGGATTGATTAGTGCTAATTCTACCAAGTCTCCTCCCAAATTGCTTCAGTAGCTTTTGAAATTACACCGAAAAAGAATCCTCGATTTTCATTTATAAAAAATATGCATATGTATTTGTATGTATAGATGAGATGTTCATCACTGACTAATATGTCAAACATATACCAATTCAGACTGTAAATAAGTTTTTCGATAAGGTATGGAGGTTAAAAACTAAATTGCTCACATCTGCATAAACTCTTTCTTTTTTATCAGAATCGTTAACTGTTGAGAAAGTATCTTGAAGGTTTACAACAAAAGATAATATTTCCTTTTCTAACGGCGGTTTCACACGGGTTTTTGTCAAGACTGGGACAAAGGCCAATATTTTTTCATCACACGACTGGGCTACCAAGTTACACCAAATTTTATGCTACTAATATGTGTTCTAAAAGTGAAACTAATCTGATCATAAATATGATTTTTTAGGATAGCCCTGAATCCCTGCGCCACCTATCGAAAGACAAACACACTGATCCTTCTAAAAACTTTTGCACAAAGCAACAATCATTCAATGCGAATTTAAAATCTGGGAGAAAATGGTTCCCAATTGAATGACTCTTGCGATTTTTAATGTGTATAAATGTAGGTGTATAAAATTACATTACCTTATAATAAGTGGTTCCAGAGATAACCGATATGAGAATTTCAGTTTGCATGGGCGGTGCCATGCCCCCTTTTCCAAAATCGACCACCCTTCGCCATAAGTACGGTATTGACAACATATGTTGCTGTGTCAAATTTCGGGACGTTAGCATAAGCGGTGCCAGAGATAAGCGATGAGAATTTCAGTTTGTATTTGCGGTGCCACGCCCCCTTTACCAAATATCAGGACGTTAGCATAAGCGGTGCCAGAGATAAGCGATATGGGAATTCCAGTTGGTATGGGAGGTGCCACGCCCCCTTTTCCAAAATCTATCAGTCTTCGCCGTAAGTACGGTATTGACAACATATGTTGCTGTGTCAAATTTCAGGACGTTAGCATAAGCGGTGCCAGAGATAAGCGATGAGAATTTCAGTTTGTATTTGCGGTGCCACGCCCCCTTTACCAAATATCAGGACGTTAGCATAAGCGGTTCCAGAGGTAAGCGATATGAGAATTTCAGTTTCTATGGGCGGTGCCACGCCCCCTTTTCCAAAATCTACCATTTTTCGCCCTAAGTACGGTATTGACAACATATGTTGCTGTGTCAAATTTCAGGACGTTAGCATAAGCGGTGCCAGAGATAAGCGATATGGGAATTCCAGTTGGTATGGGAGGTGCCACGCCCCCTTTTCCAAAATCTATCAGTCTTCGCCGTTAGTACGGTATTGACAACATATGTTGCTGTGTCAAATTTCAGGACGTTAGCATGAGCGGTTCTAGAGATAAGCGATTTGAATATTTCAGTTTATATGGGCGGGGGAGGTGCCACTCCCTTTTTTCCAATATTTACCACTTTTTGCCATAAGTACGTTATTGGCAGCATAAATAGCTGTGTCAAAATTCAAGACGTTAGCGTAAGCAGTTCCAGAGATAAGCGAT